TTTTTTAGGTTGGTAATGCTAGGTCAGTTATTTTCATATCCCTAGTTATAATATATCATTATCACAGAATCTGGTGACTCTTTTATGATTTTTATCTGTGAAAACTCTTTATCAATATCCAGACAGTACTTTTTACTATGTTTAAAAACGTATTTGACTAATTGATCTGAGATAGTGAATCCATTTTTTAGGTTTTGTGAGTCGCAAAGATTGACACACATCCTTATATCATTACTATTGAAACATAAATCGTGGTATGCAACCTGTGTGAGAGATTTATTATTGTTGAATATCTTTAACAAAAAAGATTTTAATTTGTCTTCTTTCAAGTCTCCAGACAGAATAATTGTTAGAGATGATAAGTTGGTGAAAAGAAGAACCAGGTTTAATGTTTCAGATATGATTCTGGAGTAGTGAAGAGTCAGATTGATTACATTATTGAAGTTAAATTCGGTTTTAGATATGGTTTTCAAATTATCAGTTAGAATATTTGAAACATGTAATATTTTAATTGCAATATCTTTGTCAAATACTCTGTAAAGACATCCGGAATAATTAGAAGTAAAATTAACGATTGTTTTCGGCGAGATTCTTTTTCGAATCGATCTAACGAGTTCTAAAGATATTTGTTTATTGAGCACTACTTCCTTCAATGGTAGATCAGAGCTAGCATATATCTCGAATAAGAGGCATTCTTCAAAAAACAATGAAAATTAGAATCATGTATAATAGTATCTTTAGAAAAAATATTAGATTTTGATTTACCCATATGCGAATCGAATATATCCAAGATCGTAATAATATTGATACACATAATCATGCTCAGGTAATTATTTTTTGGTCGTGCAAACATTTTACAAGTTTTATTAGTTTTATTGTTGATGTGTAGGTAAAGAGTTTCGATGACACTCTTAATTTTGTCCCTTTTTTTTTCTGTTAAAAAAGAACAGATCAAATCAGAGTTTCTTGATGAATATTTTGAACTATGCATGACAAACAAGAGCATATCTGTGCATATCACTTTTCTCGATGAAGAAGGAGAGCAAGAAGATTACATCCAATAGGAGTAGGAGTTTGGTACAGATACTCTGAAGTCGACCATTACTATTTCTTTGCTATTTAACATTCAACTCACTCCTCTGTTTCTTTCTAAGATTCTTTCTAAAATTCTCTGGTTTCATTTTTTTTTTTTAATGAAGAATGGAACAGGGATAACAAAAAAAAATTATGTACACCGATAAGAGAAGTAATTTTTTATAAAAAATGTTTATGAATTTTTTCAATAGTATTTTCTAAAGTTTGGCTTTTTATTATTTAATAAGTTTGTATGTGATCAGATATAATGATAATGCAATCTCATGACTTCTTGAATATTAGAGTTCTAAGTGAAGTAGGAAAACTTGAAAATTTACAGAAGGGCAGAAAAGTACCCTTTATATATCTTTTCTAACTGTAGTTCAAGCAACATCTGTGTTTTGTTAACTGTATATGACACTATTAGTATATGACACTATTACTAATTTATACATGCAATAAATTAAAATTATTGTTTGGCAATAAAATTTATGTTTACCTTTGTTTAAAAGACTTTTCTTTCAGCTGCTCATAACTCAGTCAAACAAATAATGACTTCATTAGTGATACGTATAATACCAATATAATTGTAAAATTAATTTTAAATTATATCTATATGTAAATGCACAAAGAACTTTTCTAGACACAACATCATTGTGAAATAAAATTTTAATTAGGTCATTTAAAAATAAATTTTCATAACGAAAAGTATTTACAAAGTGACTTAGTTGTGTGTTATTCGCAAGAAAACATAAGAACTTATTATAAAAATCTATTTTTAGGCTTTCCAGTTTTTAACCACCCACAACACTACTATAAGGCTTTTTTCAGCTCATTATTGTTTCTTTTTCAAACAAAGAAACTTATCATTTAAATAATGTGTAATATTTACGAAAGTAACTTAATATTAATAGTACAAAACACAAACACGCCATTTAATTATTTATATTGTAAGGCTTTTCTTTTGGTCTTCACGCCTTTAATGAAATATTTATATTAAACTTCATCACTATTTATGTCAGGATTACTAATTATATTTGCTTTTAAAATTATTTTTGTCAGTTGTGTTTTAAAAATTATTTAAAAATGAATAGACCGCAGAGATTTAATTCTTCTAATGTTGTATTTTTTTTAAGTAACTCGCTATTGCTTTTCCACCTTCTGGACCAAGTTGATAGTTATTGTTTAGATATAAAGAGGTTAATGTAGTATTATTATAAAGAATATTTGCAATTAATTCTCCAGAACTAGAATCGAGATCACAATCTCCAACTTTTAAATACTTAAGTGTATTATTTTTTTCATGTAATATATCTGCAATAAATTTGAATCCTCTTGGTTCGATATAATTAACACTAATATCTAAATTCATCAATGTGTTATTATTAGTGAGCATTAGTGCAATATTTTCATGATTGGCTGTACGGGTTTTTTTATTAAGTCATGTGATGATGGTTATACTTTTATTATTTATATTGACCAAAAAATATCAATACGTATACTGTATAAGAAATAATAACAATATAATACATATTTCAATACAATTGTATTTTATGTTGTTTATTTTAAAATTATTTAGTTAACTGCATATAGTTTTATAATAGTTATATTTGATTCCGAAATCTAGTATATATTTTTATATTTAGTTTTTAATATATAAGTTTAAGTTACAAATAAAGTAGCATAATCTTCACATAATATAAATGGCATTAATTTTTTGAAATGATAATGAACTCATTTTAAATATTTTTTATATGCGCTTTCATTGATTTTTTATATTTACAAAGATAAAAGTATTTGTTCAATTTGAGAACCAAGATTATTAAAATGGACCGTAATTTAATTCAAATTATTGTCAACCAAAATCAATTATATTTAAAGACACTACTAAACACAATAGATCTTGTGAAAAAAACACTAAAC